CAGTGGAGTTGATATGAAAAGCTTTTTCAAGTGGCTTGAGAAACACAAGAAGCAAATAGCAATGGGAAAAAAATAATTTTAACAACTTTTTATAAACTAAGTGTATACATTAATATTTGCCCCTTAATATATCATCAAGGGTCATGAATTAATTAAAAACTGTATATTATTAATCTGCATTATGCCTTAAAGCACCCATTACTGCTATTTTATAGTCTCTAATGTCAGACAACTTTGGAGAAAACTGTGTGGCACTCAATGGGTTAATCAGACTGTACAGTATCTGCCCATGTGTCTAGTTAATATAATAAAATATTAATTTCCATTGCACTCAAAACCTAATGCATTCTATTATGCTACTTTAGTGTATCTAATACCAAATTATATAAGGTTGGCTTTTTCACACTTTTCTATTGGATTGATATCTAGTTTTTATTGCATGAGTCAGAGACTAATGGATTAGTTGGTGCATGATCATAGTTATAATTTGTAATTTTTCCATTTATTAACTTTACTAATTATTAGATTAAGAATGGAGATCACCAAAAATATATCAGGCATGACGGGGTTTTATCCAAAAATATTCTTTTAACCCATTGAGTGACAGAACCCTCCACTTAACAAGTAAAATTGTCTGGTGTTATACAGGTTACACAATCGTCAGGGCAAGCACCTTTCACCTCAGAGTTTGTGGGTAATTTGATCCTCGCTATGGACTCATCAGAAAAGAGTCAGTTAATGTTCTGCCGAAAGTTATGGGTTTTCTCCGGGTGCTCCGGTAAGTTGACAGGGTGGGTTAGGATATTCAAGACAGGGAAAGTTGATAGGGTGGGTTAGGATAAACCAGTGAACTATGGGATAAATACAGTTAAGAAAGTAATATCACAATTGTTGTAAATATAAATAATCTATAGGCTAAGTATATGATTAGGTATGCATATACTACTTGATGTAAATGAAGCATATTTGAACATATCCACATGTAAATTAATTGCTAAATAGAAATGCTATTAATTGTAATTGTAGACCGTAGCCCCCACTATATAAATCATGAATGCTTCATTAATTCATTGGACAGAGTAAATAATAAAGTATGGTGCATTTGGACACATTGTAGCTTAATTGGTTAAACACACATATAGAAACATGGGAATAATTTCAAAACAATTTCAAATGAAACTTGTGAAATCATACCTAATTTTAGTGTGCAGTGATAACCATTTTGTGCAGTGATAAAAGTAAAGCGTGCAGTGATAAAATGTAAAATGTGCAATGACAAAATTTGCTGTGACAAATTGTTAAGTAAGGAGAAAATGGGGCAAAAAATGAACAGAAAAACTAAACTAAAAATTCGTCTTGTCACTTGACAGTATTAATCAAAACATTTTGAATGAGAATAATTTGAATGAAATTAAATCGAAATGATAACTGCCAAATTATCGAACGTCCGCACTAATATTATACTTAAGGTTCATCAAATGAACAAAGTCTTGCATCAAAGATCTCTTTATGAGCTTGGAAGTTGGAGTGAATGATACTAAATAACTTTGCTTTTTGTAATAAGTACATATATATAATCTTCCGAATTCCATAGAATGTCCCCGCACATTGGAGAAAAAGGCCCTTTTGGTGGGACTAGATTACACAGTTTTCTAGATTTGTGGGTGCATGACCCTGGAACTCCTCTGGAGTTTGTCACATCTAAGCGCCTTTTATTTGCAAAGACGAAAATATTTCGTTCATGCAAGCATGTAATTATGAGGGCCGCCCAGAGGGAGGGGGCAATTTGCCCTGGGGTCCAATAAATGGGGACCCAAAAAAAGAACTATAGTGAAATAAACATATAGATATAACTGTGAACAAACTTCCAGAATGCAGGATCTGGCCATTTCTTTGACCTGAGATTTCAACATTTTCGAAGATGGAATCACAAGGGGCCACACCATTCTCTCGTACCCGCGAATACCAACTCAAATTTGCCCTGGGCCCCCAATTTCCCAGGGCGAATCTGGGTGCTGTGCAGTGTATGTTGATTTTGGGATCTTTGAATATCAATTGTAGCCTGTCTTGTGGGTGTGTTCAGAAATTTTGAGGGCGTGCTTCTGCTCGGCTAAACTTTGCACAAAAGTGTGGAGTGATAAAAAATTCTTAAAATTAGGTATGTGTGAAATTGTAAGTATCAAAGTATAAAGGTTTATACAGAATGGCAGAATGGATTGTTATTCCACAATTATTATATTTTTAATTAAAGCAAAACATGAATAAAGAATGGAAAGTGTCTCTATTTAGATAATCAAAAATTGGATATATATAAAGCTGATAGATATAAATTTACTGATTTACATATATAAACTTTACCTTGAATATACTCTTTAGCATTCTAAATCCATTTGACTTCAAAGTTCATAATTTCCATCAAAATAAAAACAACCTTATAATCTGCAGCCCGTTGTTTTAAAATATGACTTATAAAATATTCATATTTTTAATAAAATATTCATATTTTTAATAAAAATCAAAGGCAAAATCATTTGTATTTTTAAAAATATTCGGTTCGTGCATTGCAATGTTCAGTTGTTCATCCCCCCCGTGATGACATGACCTTAATAAGGCCAGGTTACAAAAATGTCCAATATATTTGGATACACGTGACCAGTGTTTACCAGGGCCTTTGCTTCCCGTACCAGAGCCTCTGAACCGCGCAAAGGCCCTGGGTACGAGGTTGATCAATACCTAGACAATGCGACTTGATATGATAATTCTTACTACACATCGAACATTCGAAATAATTATCTTTTATGATAATGCGACTACATGTGTCACAATTTTTCTGTACTTTCATTGCATTCATAGCCATTTGCATAATCTTATTTCTGCATGCTTATTTAATAATCACGATTATAATCATAAAGTTTATACCTATAAAACTATACTTATCTTCCGTAAATTTGTCCATTGATAAACAGTTTATCTTTGACTAAAAATGCCTTATGTCCCTTAGATCTTGCATCCTTGAACACCGGGTAGAGCTTGTTTCTTTCTTCTTGGATCTCTTTGGGAAATTGGTCACTGATTCCGACACCGATATCTTTAAACTTGTATGCATTCCGCTTAATCATCTCTTTGTCTTGGAATCTCAAGAATTTTACAACAATTGGTCTCGGTTTCGTTCCATTTCTATTTCTGCCAAGCCGATGAGCCCGTTCAATCTCAATTTTTTCTGTTTCACTATTAAGTTCCTTGTCCCTCAATAGACTTTTAATTTTGTTTTCAACCTCTTCCTTCTCATTTGGTGTATTTTCTTCTCTAATATTGTAAAATATCAGATTACTTCTCATGGAATGCGCTCTCATATCAATAATTTCCCTTGCCAATTTTGCCTTCTCTTCTTCGATCCTTCCGACCTTTTCCTCTATTACTTTTAATTTATTTTCTTGTACTGCTTGTACAGATTGTACTTCGGCCACCACCTCCTGTTGATAAGTCAGCGAGTGTTTTAGATCCTTGATGTCCGTGTCAATGCTGTTGAGTCGTGTCTCGATTAGGTCAAGCTTATCGAGTTTATTCAATTTTTCACTCATTTCACCGATTATTTTCACAATTTCACTTTCGTTTAGGTTTTCCATCTTCTGTTGTTTACTTTTTGGTTTAATTGGAGTACTAGTTAAAGAATTATTTAACTCTTTCACGGAGCGTTTTTGTTTTGATCCCATCACTGATACCTGATACCTGATTCAATTTTAGAGGACAAACTTGTCGAACTTTGGCCTGAATATAAATGTTTATACGATGTGAGTTCTGCAGATTTTAGAAACAGGGACAAAAGGGAATGTGCGGTGAAAGAAATAGCCAGTAAGTTTGTCCTCTAAAATTGCCTCGGCCAGCAATTCATTTTGCGCCGCCATCTTGGATGTTTACTTTCGTATACTACGCATGCGCTGTTACGACAATCCGTAAGCAGATAGCTTTCGTTCGCCGCACACGGAAAGATTTTGGCACGCGAGGCAGAAATTATCAAAC